CCTACCCTACAAAAACAAGTGGCAATCAGAATGTGGTCTTACGATCACAGATGATTTATGGGACAAAGTATGGTCCTCACCTACAATTACATCACCGGTCATTAATACTCAACTACAGTCGTATAAGATCATAACGCGTTGGTACTTGACTCCTCATAAACTTGCGTTCTCCTCGCCAAGCTCATCACCTATGTGTTGGAGGAAATGTGGAAGCATTGGAACGTACGCCCATTGTTGGTGGGAGTGCCCAATTATAAACTCTTTCTGGCAAGAAGTCCTTAATCAGATTAAAATTATCACAGGCTATGAAGTACCCCTGAAGCCAGAGATTCTCTTCCTCTCCATCTGGAAAAATTCTCAAATTCCGCCAATCAGTAAAGATCTCATATTCAGCTTAATAGTTGCAGCACGCTCCTGCATAGCCGCCAGGTGGAAATCTCATCTTCTACCTACAATTGAGCAGTGGTACTCGAAAGTTTGGGACCCCTATATCCTCGAAAAAATTACAGACCATGTCAGAAGCGTTGAACACTTTCCTCAAAAAACCTCTTTCTCTTCAAAATGGCTACCCTTCTTTGAAATGATAACAGAACAAGACATCCAACCACACAAACAAATTTATCTCAAATTACTTTACATCTAGACATTACAACCCTGAAATTAACAAATATATATACCACTGGTTGTTTATCAATTAGTTTATAATAACGCAGAATGCTGAAACAAATACTTTTTCTAGAAAATACTTCTCAAGTTAATTCTATTTGTGATGATATTATGGTTCTACTGCTTTGTATTTAAAGTACTTTGAAAATTTTGGAAGTTAATGTTATTTTATGATGTACAATATTACTAAAATGTTAATAAAAAGTTTATGATGAAAAAAAATCCAAGTAAACCATGCCAACCAGTGTTCCCTCTAAGCTGAGTTAGTGTGAGCCAGCTCACAGTTTTTTAGCCTCCGGCTCACACATTTTTGTCTTGGCTCAGGAAGGAGGGCTCCAGAGCAAACTAATTCATGCAGCAGCCAAATTGCTCGCTCACAACTTGAATGTCACCAGCACACAATGTAGAATTTCTGCTCACAAGACTCCACATCTTAGAGGGCACATTGATGCCAACATCCCTGTCAAGTCCCCTCTTTCTACAAATTCCACCTTCCTCAGATCCCCAGGAATTTCCCAATCCAGAACTGGCAACCCTAGCAAATTGTCAAAAGTAACAGAAGATGTGGAAGTATCTACAGTTACATTGTTTTGTAGAAATTACAGCCCTAGACTGCGTCAGCCATACTTACTTTATTCTTTTCTGTCACAGTTCCTTTACATTTTATTTACTCCCTGACATAATTGCTCCTAGTTTTGTTCAAAAACCAACAGTCTAATCCTTCTCTTGTATTAATTTGCTCATACGATGGCATGGAGAGAAAGAAAAGGATATACTAGCCTCCATTTGTAGCAAGAGAAGAACTGTCTTTTCCAATACTTCTCTTCCCAGGATAGCCTGATCTCATCAGATCTCAGAAGCTAAACAGAGCCCCCAGTCACACGGGAGGTTTTGCCTCGCAAGAGGGATGGATTGGGGACACAGCAAACGGGTGCGATCACACCACAACATCTAGGAAGCGGTGTGCACCCATCCCCGATCCGTCCCTTCAGCCCAAAAACGTGCATTAAAAAAACCCTAGGAAAGAGCACTACCAACCTGAAACACCACAGCAAGTGTGGCCATGGGATCGCCAGTGTACCCGTCTTCAGCAGCATTCGAGGCTCCCGGCCAAACTGCATATGCACACACATGTGCAGCCGGCTGCCTCGCTCTCCCTTCCGTGGCTTCCTCCCCGGCATCTGATTGTGCTGCGGAGCAACTGCACGGTGGCTCAGGGGATCTGTCTGATCCCGCTGCCACGCGTCTCTTAAAAGCCACACTTTGACTGTGCCAATTTCCCCCGTGTGACCGGGGCCAGGGTAACCCCTGGTTATTATTTGGAAGGAAGAGCACCAAGGAAGACCAGGGTCATGACACAGAGGCAGGCAATGGCAAAATGTCTCTGAATGTCTCTTGCCTTGAAAATACTATGGGGTCGCCAGTGGTCAGCTGTGACTTAACAGCACAAACAATAAAATAAGTGTTCTTTGTGCCAGAACAGAGAAGGAACTCGGGGAGACGAAGTTGGTAACATTATAGTATTGGTGTGGGAGATGGGTTATGAGGAACAGATTTGCAGATTCTATCATTTGTTTTAATTACAACTTTATGACTGCAACAAGTTTTTTTAATTTATGATTATTTTAATAGGAAATGATACAATCTACTGGACAGATATGGGATTCAACAAAATAAGCAGAACTAGAAGGGACCAGACATGGAAGGAAGACATCATTACAAATGGTTTGGGAAGAGTGGAAGGCCTTGCGGTGGACTGGATAGCAGGTATCTTTTTTACTCTTTACTTCAGTTCAGCCTTACAATAAATTTTGTTTGAACTGTAGATTTAATTTTAGGTAGGATTTTAAAGTGGACATTCTAGCATGTAGTTGAACATTACAAATAGTATTTGTTTATTTCATGTATTAATAAGAAAATAGACTTGAAGTTATATTAATGGCCCTTTATCCCCTATGCTATTGAGACTTAAGTAGCTTGTTTTGTTTTCATAAATGAATGTGCATGTGTGTTTTCTCCCCAGGAAATATCTACTGGACAGATCATGGCTTTAACTTTATTGAAGTATCTAGGCTGAATGGTTCTTTTCGATATGTAGTAATATCTCAAGGCCTTGACCAGCCAAAATCTATAGCTGTGCACCCGGAAAAAGGGTAACGATCACTGACATGCATGCAATTAATTAAAATTCTTGAAAAAGGAAATCAAAACATGTAACCAATTTAACAGTGTGATATAGTGGCAGATCTAGAGATAGAAGTCCCCAGTTAAAATCCCTCATCAGTATGTATGTATGAGATACCATGGTATGAGATACCATGATGAAATTAATTTTAAGAAATACAAAGGATGCTAAGAATTTGTGTGTGTGTGTTTGTGTATTTAGCATTCTTTGTATTTCTTCAAACTGTAAATACGTATGCCAGTAAAGGCTTGTCCAAAAAAAAAAAAAGTTAACTAGGCATTAAATGAAAAGTAGCTGATTAGAAGAGTTTGAAATATTATATGAATTTTCATGTGCTGAAGGTAGGAAGGTATTATGACAGGAAAAAGAGACATCTTGGTCTTCTGCTTTCAGCCTCATTTTGAATGGTATTTTCCCCAATGGCTGCTCTAATACATGAAATAGATCTAGATTCCTTTGCTGTCTCTTCAGAGTAGAGTCAGGATTCAAAATATCATTTTAGACTAGTTCAAAGGCTTTCCTTATTGTATATATCTATCAATGATTGTATGTATATAGCTGTTTTTTGAAAGCTAAATGATTTATTTGTATCAGTTTGGTTGATTAATGTTGGAACACTTACAGTATTTCTTTTGATATCTATTCTGTTTTTTCCAAAGTCTTAGTATAAGCTGGATCAATATTTGTTTTCAAATATATTATGTGATCAATTTCTCCTATTGCTTGTTATATGCCTTCCTCGTATAAACTCACCTGTTTCAATCAACTTAAGATTTTATTATGAATGTTTATACATTCTAGATATTTATTCTGGACAGAATGGGGGCAGATACCCTGTATAGCCAAGGCTCATTTGGATGGATCTGGGAAGGTAGTCCTTGTTGGCAGTGGGATATCATGGCCTAATGGACTTTCTGTTGACTATGAGGTTAGTTAAGAGTTTAACTGCTATATTATATACACATATTTAAGTAATACAATATATTATCCTGTTTTATAAATCAGATATATTATAAAAGTGGTTGTAGATTACTTCTCAATCGGTCCTTAGGAAAACAAATTATACTGGTGTGATACTCGAATGGACAAGATAGAAAGAATTGACCTTGAGAATGGAAGGAATCGGGAGATTGTGCTGTCAGGAAGCAATGTGGATATGTTTTCAGTAGCAGTCTACGGGGCTTACATCTACTGGTCTGACAGGTAATTTATTTTTCCATAAGTATTTGAGTCTCAAAATGTTATTTTTGTGCCAGATACTTCACCCTTGTAGGATTAGCCATTCTTTAGCAAGGTCACTGAAAGGATCGCACAAAGCTAAATAATTTTCAGAGAAAAGGCACTTTTGATATTCAAAGCTAAACCATATCAAAGTCACAGGCAAAAGTGTGTTTCTTCACCTTCTGTTATGCCAGATGTCTTCTGTATTTTAATGACTGACTTGATCTTAATTAATTGAGAGTTGTGGGTCAGATAGCTCAAACTTTTCTTTTTTTTTGGCAGAGCTCATGCAAATGGGTCTATCAGACGAGGCCACAAAAATGATGCTACAGAGGCTGTGTCCGTGAGGACTGGACTAGGAATAAACTTGAAGGAAGTGAAGGTCTTCAACAGAGGGCGTGAGAAAGGTAAACTTAAACTTAGGATGTTGCCTACTTTTCCTATTACACTGTCATTTTGTTTTGTGTGACAAGCAAAAGAGACTACATATTGTGTGAGAAAGTACAACTTAACTTTCTCAGGCTCTAATCAGAGAATGTGTATCTCAAAAGGTATATTAAATATTTTTATAAAATAAATTAACTATGAAATCAGTAGATCTCATTCTCAGTGTTCAAAAATCTGTAAATCAGAAGTGTCAAACTCATTTATTATGAGGGCCAGATCTGACATAAATTTTACTTTGTTTGGGCCAGGCTGTGTGTGCCATAAATTGTAATGCTGGGTACCTCAGATATAAACTTTATAAATGACACAGGCAAACCCAATTAACAATATCATTTTTACTCAAAATACAAACAAAAGCATTTGATTCCTATGAGTGAAAACAAATTATTTCCTTTCTCCCCTACTGGCCTGCCCCTTCATTGGCAAACCACTGCCCCGTGCACCTGCTCTCACCAATCATGGTCTCTCTTTGGTGTGACGGTGGCAATGTCGGCCACTCGGCTCATTCCCAATGCAGTGGCTTCTCTAATTGTTGCTGAGCTTTGGTCAGAGGAGAGGAAAAACACCACACCTCCTCTTTCTCCACCTTCACTGCCATTCCCCCTACACTATTTTACCTCATAGTCCTGCTCCCTAGCAAATTCCTTTCTATTCTTGACAACTTTGACCACACACACCTCACCGCATGCACTCACTCCCCCCTCAACTAGTTGCTTGCAGACCAGATAACCGACCTGGGCAGGGTGGTTCCAACCCCAGGCCATGCATGACACCCCTGCTATAGATACTTAAATTCTGAGACCAGAGCCATGAACAGACAAGATAGATCATTCTACAGACCTGAGAAAATCCCCATATTTCCAGAAAAATCTGAAATCTTAAAGAGGGGGGGGATTAACCCCCCTGCAATAACAGAAGCAGCACCAGTAGCTTCAAGAAATTAATGTTCTTGGTGGCGGCTGCTGGGCAACCACAACAGTATTACCCACCTTCCAGCCTTGGCTTCTGTCAGTAAAAGGCAGAGAGAGAAGCAAGGTCTTTTCCATGGCTGTTCTGGTCTTTTGGGGAGGACATGGGGCCAGGCCCAACAACCACTGGAAAACTTGCTACCACACAGCATGCATGACTTACCCATGCCTGGTTGCTTGCTATTGTGCAACAGCAGCCACCCCATTAAAGTCAGTGTGATGTAGTGGTGTCTGGAAGTGATGCATGTGCACTTATCAACTTGGTCAGAGGCATCCTGGGCTAGCTGCAGCCAGAAGAGTCCTGCAGGAGCCCAGTGTAGATGGGGAAGCTGAAGCACAAGTTGGCAGCACAACAGCCACATTAGACAGCCTCAGGGAAGCTGCTGGAAGAGGCGGTAAGAGCAAAGACAGCTGTGCATCATCCAGGCTTGCTGGAGGCTGTCCAGCCAAGGAGCAGACCAGCAATGCTCAAGGCCTCAACTGGCTCAAAGGATCCCAGGGGCATGGTGACAGCAAGGGAAGCAGAGTGGGACCCAGCCTGATACAAGGAAGGCCCAGATAGAGAGACCAGATCTAGGGGAAAGTCCCTGGTGGGGTAGTTATTCTGACAAAAGGAAGGACATGGATTCAAATTCCTCTTCCATTGTATTCTTTATTAAAAGAAGATAAAGAGATTAAGTTTCTAATAGCAAGAATAGACATTGGACAACTATAGATCCATTTTACAAATGTTGGAAATGATTCCCTATGTTATTTGAAAGAAAGTCTGTTAAGATTCTTCTTTTCTAAGATCTCTGTTCGTCAAACCAAAACTAACTAGTAGACATTAATACTTAAAACTAGAAATTCATCTTTGGTTTTCTATGTAAGTCTAATGCATGCCTGCAAAGAAGACACTCAAACAATGGCTAAGTACCTTTTGCTTTCTTGGTCTAAAATAATCTCTTTTCTTTGAGAAGGAGATGAAATGCTGCACCTTCTCAGGTGGCATTTAAACATCATGATAAACTGCAGATAGAGACTTGTATAAGATTTTTTCCCCTATTATACCTTGAAGTGTGTTTTTCTTGAGTAGCTGCCAATCCTAAACTGTATTTCAGGCAGAGTTACTTATTCCATGTATTTTATTTTCAATTAAAAATCTTACTTTTTAATGTATGTACTTTTGGATACCCATGACATAATGAATATTTATGTATGAAACAATTTAAGACTAGTGAAATTCCTGCATTCTTTTTAATTGATCTACTACTTCAGGACACATTATCTCATCTCCAAATATGGGTAAAAGTGCACTAAACATATGGGTGAAATATGTTTAATAGTAATCATTAATGGCTACTCTGAAATTTCTGAAAGGTGGATGCCACCTTTATTAACTAATAGTGTAATCAATTTTTTTAAAAAAAATATCTGATATGCTATGTTACAAAAGCCGGAATTATATATATATATATTCCCTTACAGGAACCAACATTTGTGCCAAGAACAATGGTTGGTGTCAACAACTTTGCCTTTATCGGGGAAATGCACAGAGAACATGTGCTTGTGCACATGGCTATCTGGCAGAGGATGGAGTTACATGTCTGAGACACGAAGGCTACTTACTCTACTCAGGAAGAACAATATTTAAAAGTATACATCTTTCAAATGAGACTAATTTAAATTCACCAGTGCAACCTTATGAAAATCCAGAATATTTCAAAAATGTGATAGCGCTTGCTTTCAACTACAGTCAAAAAGAAAGAGGAACCAACAGAATCTTCTTCAGTGATGCACACTTTGGGAACATACAAGTTATTAACGATGACTGGTCTGGCAGAAAAGTTGTGCTTGAAAGTAAGTAATCATTTTTGTTTAACTTATTAACTGTTGTATAAATCCTTGTTAAAAGTAAGGGCCAGTGCACTGGGATCTGTTGGACTCATACTCAAATCCTCTTTCATCTGGGTAACCATGGGCCAGTTACTTTCTTGCAGCTTGAACTCATAGGGCTTTTGAGAGGAGACGATGGAGAAGGGAGAAGTATGTATATACCATTTTGAACTCTTTGGAGGAATGCACTAGAACAAGGCAGATAAATAAATGTATACACTTTCACACCCCCAAAATATAACAGTTGATCATGCAACTTGGGCCTGACAACGTGGACAGACTTTTCCTTGGCAGAGGCTGTCAGAGGGAGGCAAGGAGGAAAAGGAGGACTTGGGGGGAGCTAAACGTAGGTTGTGTGGGAAGTGGAAAAGGAAACAGGAAAAGGGAGAGAATATGGGGCTGCAAGGAGAAGGAAAGAAGTAATAATAGGAGAGGGGTACATGGGGAAATGAGATGCCTCCTGCAAGCCCTTGCTCGTCTCCCACTTCTATTGGTTAGAATGTAAGACTAGGATTTTATTTATTTTTATTTATTTATGTTACTTTTAGGCTGTGATCACACTGGTGGCTTGGTGCGATATGGTGTCACCTCTAATTGAACCAGGTTAAAGTGTAGTGGGATATATCAGCCACACAGTACACCCTGCTGTGGGTTACCCACGGAGACATCCCGTGGTAAAGCCTCCACATTATTGTGGCGCCTCAGCCATGGAGCAAACTGCAAAAAACCTGTCCAAACACCACGTGTGTGTGTAGTGCCCATGTGCACGCATGTGCACATAGGCAAGTCTTTTAAAAAACCGCCCCCGTAGTGGCAGAACGGATCTGCAGGTTCACACTGCCAAATCCATTCTGCGCGGGCTCCCCTGTGTTCAGACATCCGGCCATGTGCAATGAATGCGGGGGGAAACAAAAACACCACTTCAGAGGTGGTGGCTTTTTAACCCGGCTCCAAGTCGTCCTCTGACGGGGTAAGTACACCCAGGGAATGCCTAACAGATGTGGCTGTGTGATCCTGCCCATTTACTCCATTTGTAAAATGTGCCTATATCGGGCCAAACTGCCCGTCTGGACACAACCATAGTCTGGCTTTCTCACAGGCACTCAAGGCTGATTATGCAGAGGGAGTCAATACAATCAACCTAGTGGGACAATGTAGGATTGTAGAAGTGTGGAACCAACCAGAACTTTAAAAATATAGAGCTAAAGCATAACATAAGTATTAACATGACACACTAAGCAGTGCCAAAATTACATAATAGGATCCTACTTAGACTCAGCTATATATAGCAGTATAGACCACAGTCCATATCATATTATCCAAGTAAGTTTGTAAACCATTTTATGCAGTGCAACCATATTACCTGCCCAGGAAAGCCCTCTTGAATAATTCAGTTTTGCATAGTTTGTGTAAATCCAGGAGAGGGGGAGGCTTCTAGATTTCCTCAGGCAGGCCATTCCATAAATTGGGAGCCACAATGGGGAAAGCATGTATACAGGAAGTTTTCGATTTTGCCTATTTGCAGGTTGGCACCAGCAGAAAGCCCTACTGACATGATAAGAACTATTGTGGTGGAGCATCAGGTTAGAGGTCCTGCAGATAAGAGGGATTTGGGAGATCCAGGTTCAAATCCAGCTTCTGCCATTAAGCTCATTCGGTGACCTCAGACCACTCACTCTCTCACAAGGTTATTAGGAATAAAATGCAGAAAGCAAAATTATGTATGCTGCTCTGAGCTCTGGAGGAAGGGCAGGATAAAAATACACTCGATAAATAAAAATACAAATTGTGCCTTATATGTATTTCTTATATCGATATGTATTTCTGATGTACATTCATGTCTACTGAATTCTTCCAGTTATTAAAACTGAGCATAGTATTTTAGTTGAAGTGTGAGCATTGCTAAATATAGTTGTACAACCATTGTCTTTAATAAAATAGTCTAAAAGCTTAATGACAAAATAGTATATTTTTTTCATTCAGTACATGGAAAGATATATTTGTTAACTGACAGAGCATTTCACCTTTACTTTCTTTATTGTGTCAGTTGTTAAATCAAATAGTGCAGTGTTCCAAATAACAAAAGGATTCTTTCTACCATAATGATGTGCAGTTGTGAAGTGTGAAATCTTGTTTTAGACAGCAGTAAAATAGATAATGGCTTAGAATTTTTAACCAACTTGAGGAACAGGGCTTCAGATTTTGTTGTGGCATGTTTGTTTTTCCTGTGTGAATAAATAGCAGAAAAGGTGAGAATTCTGTACACATTGAATAGTATAGACCAATGTATCAGTGATTTCTTATAGATGCATGCAGTAGAGAGAGAATGGTAACAATGCATGTGAAGAAATGGACTTGTGTCCATCTTATACTGGATGTTTTTGGGGCGAGGGGGAGTCTTTAAGGTGTCACAAGGCCCCTACTTATTTTAACATAGTAGCCAAAAGACTAAGCAAGAATCAAAACAGTTGCCTGTATCATGCATTCATTTGATGGCTTTAAACAACCACTATCTCTAAGCCTCGGTTATCCAACTGAGATGAGGAGATAAGAAAACTGACCTTGAGGCCAAGAGCAGGTATTCTGGCCACACAAAGCCCAATCCAGACAACCAGAAGGGTCTGATGGAAAAGCAGTCACTAGAATGAATCAACTTCCTTTATGCCAGGTTGCCAGTAGCAGGCCTGATTCTGGTTGACCAATCAGGTGTGTCACTAAGACACATGACCATGTACTTCTGCAGCTAGTACTTGCCCAAAATAAGCAATCCACCCCCCACCCAGGGTTCCTTGTGTTAATGAGATGGAATGCAAGTCCCAAACTCCATCCTGGTCCCTGACTTTGAAGCTCCTAGGCCCCATGATCTCATCTGCACCTGTGTCTGATTCCATCTCTCTTGAAACTCCTAGTCATTAAGTTCCCAGAGAGAAATCTTCTATAATTTTACTTGGCCCAAAAGCCTGAGCAAAAGATTTGAAACACTGAGAAACAGCTAGAAAAAGGCCAGTTCCTTTACAACTTATTTTTCCAATTTCAGTAGAACATCTGCTATCATAAAGAAATCATTAGTTGAAAGGTTGCTACCTTTCTGAAAAAAATGGTGGCCTCAAGCCTATATGGGATCTAATGTTCTCAGCATACTGAATCCAACATCATAAGGAGGTCTGTGTTAAACTGGTTTCCAGCTCACTAAAATTTTGACAACTCACAAGCATCCCATTATCTAATATGTTCTGAGCTCACTGAATACAAATTTACTACATAGAAACAACCCGTTATCTAGTATGTTTCTAGTTCACTAGAAATAGATTTACTACTCATATTCAAGCCATTATCAAACAGAGTTCTAACTCACTGAATATTGATTTAGAATTCATAAACAGTCCATTATCTGACAAATTTTCAACTCACTGAACAGATTTGTGACTCATAAACAACCCATTATCTAACACATTTCCAGCTCACTGAAAGTAGATTTATAGTGTATAAACAATCCATTATATAACATGTTACCAGTTCAGTAAAAACAGATTTAGAACTCACAAGGATATCAGTAACAGACAAGACAGCACCACCATAAATAATAGGGGCAGATTAATTTACAACTTCTTCCATTAAATAACATGTATACTGTATTCACATTTTCAAATTCAATTCCTTGCTCTCGGTATGAGGTCAGTAATCCTGAACAATGAGGAATGTGTGTTCTTTTTTAAAGAAAATTCCTGGGTTTTGTTCAAATTGTATAATCTTTTTTAAAATAATTATATCAAAACTTTTTTAGTGAGCCAAAAGAATGCTTTCATGTGACAATTCAGGAAAATATTGCTTAAAACTTCAAGGCTAGGAGACCAGGTGTGAAAATGAGTGACAGTGGTTGCTTGTGTGGTCCCCCCCAGAGGGACAATAGTAGATGCATACCAGAGTAGTGTTACAGACTGGCAATCAGGAAAGGAAACAAGTTAAACTGATCTTCTTTCTGTCTTTTAGAAATAAATACAATGAGCTCTAGAAAGAGGCTCTGGGTGGGTGCCTTGGCCTTGGCACTCAGTGTCAGTTTCCTGTAGCAACCTCAGCAGGGTATAATGACACAGAGTCCATTGTTTTCTCCAGGGGAACTGATCTCTACCTTCTAAAGAGCAGTTGTAATTCTGAGTGATCTCCAGCCCTCACCTGCAGATTGGCAACAATGGTTCACCAGGAGGAAATGGCTGCTTTGGAGGGTGGAGTCTATGGCATTGTAACTGTCTGAGTTCCCACCTCTCCTCAAATTCTACCCTCTCCAGGCTCCACCCCTCAAATCTCCAGGAATTTCACAACCTAGACTTGGCAACCCTATTTCCTTCCCAGCCAACCATCAACCTACTTTTATCTGCCCCTCTGACTTCAGCTTTCCATGTCCTTCCCCCCTCCCTGCAGCCTCTACCTTAGGAAGAGTACAGTATATTTCCACAGTGGGGACCAAAGCAGCTCACATCATTCTCCCCCCCTCTTTTGATTTGCTCAACAACCCTGTGAGGTTGAAAGTATGTGACTGGTCCAAAATCATCCACTCAGCTTTCACAGCAAGAACCTGGGTCTGGCAGACCCTGCTCTGAAGTGCTAACTACTATGTCACACTGGCTGTCATAGGGTGGCCACCTCAGCAGGGTAATGACAGAGAGTCCACCATTTTCTCCAGGGGAACTGATCTCTGCCATCTGGAGAGCAGTTGTAATTCTGAGTGATCTCCAGCCCTCACCTGGAGACTAGCAACAATGGTCCCCCAGGAGGAAAAGTACAGTCTTTCTCTGCAGTGGGGACCAAAGCAGCTTACATCATTCTTCTCTCCCCCTTTTGATCTGCACAATCCTGTGAGGTAGGTTAGGCTGAAAGTGTGACTGGTCCAAAATCACCCAGTCAGCTTCCACAGTGCTACACCACACTGGCTGTGGTATCACCTGGTATCACAACTGAACTCCAGA